GAGGGGCGCGGTCCAGCCTCGCAGCCGCCTCCGGTAGGGTCTTCAGGCCGGGTCTGTCCTGGCGCCACTCCGCGTGGGCGTCGGGGTGGGTGACAGTGAGACCCAGAGTGGGCTGGCCCGCCTGCGGTCACTGACTGGTGGAGCAGGCGAGGCCGGAAGTAGAGCCTCCAGGGACTCGGGATTAAGACCCGCCTTCGCCAGCGCGGAGCAGAGAGGAGGCGGGTCAACGTGGGAGAGTGAGGGGAGGCTTTCTCCGGAGGCGGCGACGCCTGAGCCTTGTCTTTAAGAGCGACGAGAAGGGCTTTCCGGCCCCAGGGACTGGCTCCAAGAGCAGAGGCCCCAGGAGAGAGACAGCATGGGGTCTTCTGGGGCCTGCAATCCATCCTTTGTTTTGCAGCACAAACTGTTAGAGGAAGGGCTTGTAAACCAGCGGAGGGTTATGACAGCAGGGGAGGGATGGGATTAGATTTTGCCACAGGGCTACCCAGTGGAGGGGAGCAAGATGAGAGTCAGGAGATAATGGCTATGGTCCAGGTAAGAGTGCAGGTCTGTGTCAGTGGAGATGGAAAAAGAAACGAGCTTAAGAACTCTGAAATTTGTGTTAGCAGGGCTTGATCTCTTCTTCCTGGAATACTCTTCCTTCCATCCTGTCCTCTTTTCCCTTCCTCCTTGTTCATGTCTAATGGTAGTGGACTGTCCGGGTCTGAAGCTTAGATCCCATTGGAAATAGAGGGCTAGGAGTTGTCATTCATTCGTGCAACAGATATTTTGTTGGCACTTGCATGTGACAGTTCTGTGGTGACCATTAGGGATATAGCTAGGACCAATGGAAGCATGGTCCCACTCCAGCTTAGAGATCTCACTGGGAAATCTACAGAAAAGGTGGTCATTAAAATCTAAAGAGACTTAGAATAAGATAAAGCTAAGGACAGAGTGCTGGAGAAAGCCAACAGCTAAGGAATAGGCAGAGGAAGAGACCAAAAAGGAAGAGGAGCACAAGAGGCAGCATGATGCAGGGGTTAAGAAATATATCTTTGTTCTATATATTGTCTAATGTTCTAGAGAGTAGGCTTTGTATTCCTTTTTAACTGTGTACCTAATATATATACAATAAAAATATATAATGTAGTTCCAATGACATTTCTTTTTTTTTTTTTGAGTTGGAGTCTCATTCTGTCGCCCAGGCTTGAGTGCACTGGCCGGTCCTGGCCACCGCTGCCTCGCCTGCTGGGCTCCGGCGATCCTTCCGCCTCAACCTTCCGAGTAGCCGGAATTACAGGCGCGCACTACCATGCCCGGCTGATTTTTAAAATTTATTGTAGAGATGAGGTCTCGCCTGCTCAGGCGGGTCTCGAACCCGCGGGCTCAAGCAATCCACTCACCTCAGCCTCCCAAAGGCGCAGGATTATAGGCTGAGCCACCAAGCCTGGCTTGACATATTTATTTCAACAATGTTTTATGCAATGCAGTTTACCACAGTGAATGAATTTGAATTTTGCTTTTGAAATAAATTGTGCTGAAATTTGACTTGAAGTTTCTGACACTTAAATTATGTACTTAATGGTGTGTTTCCTTTTTGAAAATGATCATCAATCAATCTAAAACTTGTCTAATTTTTTTTCCACTTTAACAGAACTGTGTTCTTTAGTTGTTTTTTTTCATACTTTATATGATGACCCAAAATATGCCATTTGAAATAAATTCCAAGCTGTGAAAAATAAAAAGAAATAAATAAACTCTGGAGCCACACTGCTTGGGTTCAAAGCCTGGCTTCTGCTACCACTTGTGTGATCTTGGGCAAGTTACTTAAAGTCTCTGTGACTCCGTTTTCTTTCTTTTTTTTTTTTTTGAGTTGGAGTCTCACTCTGTCGCCCAGACTGGAGTGCAGTGGCCGCTCCCGGCCACCGCAGCCTTGACCTGCTGGGCTCCGGCGATCCTTCCGCCTCAGCCTTCCGCGAAGCCAGAATTACAGGCATGCGCTACCACGCCCGGCTGATTTTTTGATTTATTGTAGAGATGAGGTCTTGCTGCCCAGGCGGGTCTCGAACCCGCGGGCTCAGGCAATCCACTCACCTCAGCTTCCCAAAGGCGCGGAATTACAGGCTGATTTTCTTATCTGTAAAATGGAATGAATAAAAGTACCCACCTCGTACTTACTTTCTTTGTGACAAAACTTAAATGAGTTCGCATTTATAAAGCAATTAGAGTCTCACATGGTGAGTGTTATATGTTTATAAATAAAACATAAAGGAACTGGAAGAGAGTAGCCTCACACATAGGAGTTTTCAAACTAAAGAAAGAAACTGCGGGAGAGTTAATATAGAGGGTTTATTTGGGCCGAGGTTGAGGACGGCTGCTTGGGACACACTTCCAAGATGCCTTGGGTCTCTGTTCAGCCTTTGATAAAAGCAGTTTTTAGAGGCAAAAGGGGAAAAGGAGTGGGCTGATACAAAGCTGTTTGGCAGAAATTCTCATTGGCTTACAGAAATAACATTGGTTAGTAGTCTGGGCACCCGTGGCTCAAACTTGTAATCCTCTCGCTGACGCGAGAGGATTGCCTGAGTCCAGGGGTTCAAGACCAGCCTGGGTAACTTGATGAAACCTTGTCTCTACTATAAATCAAAAAATTGTCCTGGTGGTGTTGTGCAACTGTAGTTTCAGCTACTTGGAAGGCTGAGGTAGAAGGATTGGCTGAGCCCAGCAGGTGGAGGTTGTGGTGACTGTGAGCACGCCACTGCACTCCAGCCTGGACGACAGAGACTCCAACTAAAAAAAAAAAAGAAAAGAAAATAATATTGGTTAGTGATTGGCTGTACATTGTTGATCTACATGGTATGAGTTATGGTGTATGGTTTATGGAGTTTTATGGTTACTTATCATCAGTCTAGAGCTCACATTGCAAGTGGCTTCAAGAATGAGATGTGAGTGCTGTCACATTTCAATGCCTCTATGGGCCTGATAATGAAAGGGGGGGTGCATTCCCCAGATAAAAAATTCTTTCTGATGGAATGAAGGGTTCACACAGTCAAATACAACTGAAAGATTCAATAAAATGATGGGAAGCGGTCGTTATATTTCTCAGTAAGGGCACATGGCAAAGACAATGTTATACATTTACAAATTCTTTTCCTTTTGCTCTTGGGCAGCCAGATTACATTCCACAATCTACTGTGGGCTACGTGATTGCATTCTGGCCAATGAAATAGAGGCAGAAATGATGCATAGCATTTCCAGCTTTGGCTCCTAAAATATCTGAAATTTTTTTCTTTTTTTTTTTTTGAGACAAGTTTTCATTATATTGCTCAGGCTGGTCTCAAACTCCTGGACTCAAGTGATTCACCTCAGCCTCCTGAGTAGCTGGGACTACAGGGTCACATCACCACACCTGGCTTGAAATTCTTTACATGTTCTTTATCTCCTCATCTATTACCATAGTTACAGAGCATCTAATGAAGTATTCTGAGGCCCTAGGAAATGGCAGAGTCACTAGATGGATGGCACCTGGGTTTCTGAATACTGTATGGAACAGAGCTCTCCCCTACCCCCGCCAGAACTGACTGTGGTGCTAAGCTATTGAGCTTTGGAGGTTGTTTGCAACTAAGATTACATACCCTAATCTATACAGGGCAAAAGAGGTGTTACAATATGTCGTGCAGCTAACAGTAGAGACAGGAGGTCTCTATTATGTTGAGAATCTTGGCAGAGAAAAGATAAAGAATGGATTATCTAGAAGAGAATGCAGGATTGAGGGAACATGTTTTTGCATTGGCTTTGCCTTCTGTGGCATTCCTGAGTTAACAATACACTAAAGACCCCTAACAGCAGAGAGTAACCCTCAAATCTGGTGTCTGTCCCTAATTCCTATCTGTTCTGTCAGAAAACTCCAGCTCACATTGTTTTGTTTGTTTTTTTTGAGTTGGAGTCTAATTCTGTCACCCAGGCTGGAGTGCAGCGGCATGCTCATGGCCACTGTAGCCTCGACCTGCTGGACTTAGGTGACCCTCCAGCCTCAGCCTTCCAAGTAGCCGGAACTACAGGTGCGCACTACCACACCCAGCTAATTTTTCATTTTATTGTAGAGACAAGGTCTCGCCATGTTGCCCAGGCTGGTCTCGATCCTCCAGGCTCAGGCAATCCTCTTGCCTCGGCCTCCCAAAGTGCTGGGATTACAGGCTGAGCCACATGGCACCAGGCCCTGTTTTATTTTTAAACAAGGAGTGTCAGCCTGGCACGGTGCTCATCTCTACAATAAGTCAAAAAATAAGCCGGGCATGGTAGCACGCGCCTGTAGTTCCGGCTCCTTGGAGGGCTGAGGTGGAAGGATTGCCTGAGCCCAGCAGGTTGAGGCTGTGGTGGCCATGAGCATGCCACTGCACTCCAGCCTGGACGAAAGAGACTCCAACTCAAAAAAACAAAAACAAACAAACAAACAAGGAGTGTCCCATGGTCTTCAGTGACTTCAGGTAAGGGACTAAGGGTTATAACCATCTTTCCCTAGATGTAATGCAGAGATCACACCTCTAGGATTTTGGAGGGAGAGAGCTGGGTAGGTCCCATTTCAGTCATTCTCCTCTTCCTCTAAAAGGTGATTTTGGGGAGACACACAGAGAGGAGAGTTTTGGAGATATTCCAAGAGGTGCTTCTAAGGGGGTTTAGAAGTTCGTTGGTATGACCTAGAGAGTGGCATTGAGGCACGGGTAATCTTGGGAAAATGGAGCTGCTTACAAATCTAGTCACTCAAGCAAAGACAGCTGAGAGAGTAGAAAAGCTGATCTCCCATCCCTGTCTCACCCCTTTGGGTACCATGAGCGGTCAGTGGGACAGGTAAAGCCCCTGTTTCTCAGTCCCCTGCTCCCTGCCCCCTATGTAGGGGTCTCTTCAGATTCCAGTCTGAGGATTCTAGGGCAGAGATCAGGTACATGACCAATGACCCAGTTTTTGCAGCTCAACTACAAAACACCTGGTTTGGCCTGGCCTGGCTTGGGGGAAGGGACCTTCCCGCTACAGCCAGCTCCTAGTTCACTAGGTTTCTGTCCTCAATTCCACTGAATCTCAGAGACATCTCGCAACACTGGGACAAGCTTTGGAAATTTCAAATCTCAGTTTGGTCATCCATTCTCTTGGTGACCTTGAGGTATTTATTCCCCACTGTGAAATGGGGAAGAGGTTTAGACAATGTTTAGATCAGTGGTTCCTAACTCCAGGCCGTGGGTTGTTAAGAATCAAGCAGCACAACAGGAGGTGAGCAGCGCTTTCTTTCAGATCAGTGGCAGCATTAGATTCTCATAGGAGCGGAACCCTATTGTGAACTACGTGTGTGAGGGATCTAGGTTGCAGCTCCTTATGAGAATCTAATGTCTGATGATCCCACTCTCCCCTACCCCCTGTCCATGGAAAAAATGTCTTCTGCAAAACCGGTCTCTGATGCCAAAAAGGTTGGGGACCACTGGTTTAGATGGCTCTTTAAAAGTGCCAGGGGGCCGGGCTTGGTGGCTCAGCCTGTGATCCCGTACCTTGGGAGGCTGAGGTGAGTGGATTGCCTGAGCCCGCAGGTTCGAGACCTGCCTGGCAACTTGGTGAGACCTCATCTCTACAATAAATCAAAAAATTAGCCGGGCGTGGTAGCGCACGCCTGTAGTTCCAGCTACTTGGAAGGCTGAGGTGGAAGGATCGCCGGAGCCCAGCAGGTCAAGACTGCGGTGGCTGGGAGTGGCCACTGCACTCCAGTCTGGGCGACAGAGTGAGACTCCAACTCAAATAAATAAATAAATAAAGTGCCGGGGAAGAATTAATTTTAATCCCAGTGTTAGCCAACTGGTTCAATCCATGGAAATTTGGAGAAGGAAGGGGCATGTGTATAGATGGTGGCTGGAGCTGCTGACAGTCTTGTTCCCCCCAGATTTTAAGATTTATTTTATCCCTCTTGCCCTTCCCACTTCTTGTACTTTTGGTCTGGAGATGAGAGGAACAGTAACAGAGTCGAGTCTCACTCTGTCACCCAGGGTGAAGGGCAGTGGCATGAACACGGCTAACCACAGCCTCAACCTTCTGGGCTCAGGCAATCCTTCCGCCTCAGCGTCCCAAGTAGCTGGGACTACAGGTGTGCACCACCACACGCAGCCAAATTTTTTTTTTTTGTAGAGAAGAAGTCGCTCTGTTTCCTAGACTGGTTTCCAACTTCTGGTCTAAAGCAATTCTCTCACCTCGCCTCCCAAAGTGCTGGGATTACAGGTGTGAATCATCACACCTGGTCAATTACCTAAACCCTTTTCCCCCCAAGACTGTTTCTGCTGGTGAGGTTGGGTATAGCTATGGTGAACGACTCATTCCCCAGGTAGCATCTGAAGGACCACCCCATCCCCTAAGTTTGCCTCTCCACCACAGCCACAGTCACTCACTGAGCAGGTGACTGAGGTGATTGTGAATCCAGGGTCATACCCTTCCTCGCCCTAAAATGCAAGCTTAGAGAGGGCAGAGGCCATGCCTGACTTGTCGGGATGCACACAGGGGGCATCCCTATGCCCCACATAGAGCACAGGCATAGGGTAGATGGTCAGTAAATATTTGCTGAATGAATGACCAGATGGATGACTGAGTGCAGCAAAGAGGCCCTGTAAGCGTCCGGGAGCCGAGGGACTCTACAGGAAGCAGCTTTCACGGGGCTTCTTCCAGAGTAATGGCTACAGCCTTGGGTGCAATGGATCATCACAGTCGTCCCGGTAGTTCACAGCGGTCCTGATCCCCGCCCCCAAGTGGGCCGGCGGCTCACTCAGGCAGTCACGTGCGGGCGGTTGGCCAATCATCGAGGCAGGGCGGGACAGACGGATCAATTAAAGGGTGAGAGGCAGCCCCGCAGACGTTCCAAACGATCGCCGTGGGGGCCTCATGTCGCGCGGCGGAACTGACCCTGAGCAGCGCCGACAGGCGGACACCACAGCGGCAACCTTCCGGGCAAGCGGTAATTGCAGGGCGGCCGGGACTCGCTGGGACGCGGAGCCGAGCCCTCCTGTTCCTTGGGAAATTCTCGCCCCCACCCGAAGATTTGCACGCGGGTGCCGAGCACAGCCGGCAAGACGGAGAGAGACGCCTGTGTAGGGACTGCAGGGCAGTTGGCGCTGGGAAAGTCCAGTCCTTTTAGCTCTTGAGCAGGACGGGGCCAAGGGAGTACTGCCCACCTCGGGCCTGCTGGTGGGTGAGACCTAGGGGAGACAGCTTTGCGTACTGATCTTGACTCTCTACCTCCAGACCACCAGCATGTGCGATACAACCCGCTGCAGGATGAGTGGGTGCTGGTATCAGCTCATCGCATGAAGCGACCCTGGCAGGGGCAGGTGGAACCCCAGCTTCTGGAGACAGTGCCCCGCCATGATCCCCTCAACCCTCTGTGTCCCGGGGCCACACGGGCCAACGGAGAGGTAAGCCTGTAGAGTCCTGCATCCACAGGGTGGGCCAGGGGAAGCATCTCCCACTTGTAGCTGACATGCACCCACAGGGTCATATCCCACCAAGCGTTTCTGTCACCTACAGTGGGCCTTCCCCACCCCTTTGTAGCCTGTCCAGCCCTTGAAGCCCATCAGATGACTGGTGGTATGGGGCAGTGAATGCTTCTAGCCCAAATATGTCAGTAGGTGAATCCCCACTACGATGGCACCTTCCTGTTTGACAATGACTTCCCAGCTCTGCAGCCTGATGCCCCCAGTCCAGGTAACCTGGCTCCAATTGTTGTTGGGGAGGTGGGAGGCTAGAACTCTTGGGGGACTTCCGCAGAGAGTGATACTCCTTTATCTCAGGACCCAGTGATCACCCCCTTTTCCAAGCAGAGGCTGCTCGAGGAGTCTGGTAACGATGGATTTCCCCTCTTACAACATTCAACCTGGGGTTGAAGACTGAGTGCTGGGGTTGGGGCCTACCCCTGGCACAGCTGAACCCTATCCCGCTGTCATCCTTCTCCCTCACCACCTAGTAAGGTCATGTGCTTCCACCCCTGGTCGGATGTGACACTGCCACTCATGTCAGTCCCCGAGATCCGGGCTGTTGTCGATGCATGGGCCTCAGTCACAGAGGAGCTGGGTGCTCAGTACCCTTGGGTACAGGTTTGTCGGGTCGCCCTCTTCCCCTGGATAGGCAGGGAGGGAGTGGTACAGCTTTGGTTCTAGGTAGTATCATTTCTGTTTCCTCAGGGTGTGGTCAGGAGAGGGTTGACTTGATGTCTTTTTGGCTAATAAAGCTTCCTACCCGTTTGATAGATCTTTGAAAACAAAGGAGCCATGATGGGCTGTTCCAACCCCCATCCCCACTGCCAGGTAAGGGTGTCAGGGTCTAGGTTTCTTGACTGGGTCTTGGCTAGTTTTGTGAGCAGGGCAACTGGATTCATGGATGGGACAAAGGAAACGTGCTAGCGATGTGGAGGCTTGGAGGTAAAGGACTTGTCTCCTCTTTTCTGCTTTTGCCCCTCGACAGATATGGGCCAGCAGTTTCCTGCCAAATGTTGTTCAGCGTGAGGAGCGATCTCAGAGGGCCTATCAATGTCAACATGGAGAGCCCCTGCTAATGGAGTATAGCTGCCAGGAGCTACTCAGGAAGGTGGGAGAGAGCCAAGCCCTGTGTCTTCAGAGAGTCCCTAGTTTTCTTACCCCAAAAGAGAGAGGTATGCGAAGGAGAAGGATAGAGGGAAAACTAGCAGAGAGACTTGCTAGGAAGCCCTAGCAGTAATCTAAAGGAAAGGTTATGGTGGCTTAGACTAGGGTGGTAGTGGGGGAATCCATCAGATTATGGGTGTACTCTTTTCTTCTGCTTTCCATACCTGTTTGCTGACCCCTCCTTGATGACGTCATATTCATTCTGTCTGTCCAGGAACGTCTGGTCCTAACCAGTGAGCACTGGTTAGTGCTGGTCCCCTTCTGGGCAGTGTGGCCCTACCAGACACTGCTGCTGCCCCGTCGACATGTGCGGCGGCTACCTGAGCTGACCCCTCCTGAGCGTGACGGTGAGTCTCTCAACTAGAACCCCGGGGATAGGCACTGGATGGGAGTGGAACTGATAGGGCCAGCATCTGGGCCCAGGCTGAGAGTCAGGCTCTGATTCCAGATCTAGCCTCCATCATGAAGAAGCTCTTGACCAAGTATGACAACCTATTTGAGACGTCCTTTCCCTACTCCATGGGCTGGCATGGTAAGGCTTTTTAAGTACCTATATCTAGCCCCAACACAATTTCCGGATTCCTGGGGCCCAGCCCAGTGGACTACAACCCCTAGCAAGTCTTGAAATACTTGCCTGGCGGTGTCCAGAGCAGGGATGCTGGGACTGAGGGTGGAGCAGCAAACATGGTGAAACTATGTCTCCAGTGTGTTTTCTAATGCCTAGGGCCCTCTCTGGCAAGGGATCCTGGGGGATGTAGTTTTCAGGTACCTGGCCTGGTTTAGTAGTGTAGGGGCTAGGCTCAAGAATCTCTGCCTTTTTCCTGTCAGGGGCTCCCACAGGATCAGAGGCCGGCGCCAACTGGGACCACTGGCAACTGCACGCTCATTATTACCCTCCGCTCCTGCGCTCTGCCACTGTCCGGAAATTCATGGTTGGCTATGAAATGCTTGCTCAGGCTCAGAGGGATCTCACCCCTGAGCAGGTCAGCACTTGGAGCATCCTGGGTGCTCAGGTCTCTCCCACTTCCTTAAGAGATCCCAACAATCCTGACTCTGAGAACTCCCATAATAACCTGTGCATTCCTCAGGACTCAGGGGCTGGAGTTCTTATTACCAATCTCCCAATCCCACAGGCCCTCCCACAAGGTTTCCTGCATACCATCATTCTGGGAAACCTTTATCCTCCCTGATTGTTTCCTGTCCCTCTTTCAGGCTGCAGAGAAACTAAGGGCACTTCCTGAGGTTCATTACCGCCTGGCGCAGAAAGAAAGGGAGACAGCAGCCGTCGCCTGACCACGCTGACCACAGGACCTTGAATCCCTATTCCTCTTCTTTTTTTTTTTAAACAATCTTGCCGAATTAAGCAGAAAGGACTTTGAATCTTTCTGCCTGAGGGAACTGGGATTGGGATTTGGGCAGATGTAGCATTAATAAAACTGTGCTTCTCAAAATTTAATTACATATTCTAACATCAGAGGAGTGTAAATGCTAGCCTTCAAGGATGTGAGGTTAAAGACTAAAGGCATAGCTCCATCCACAACTTTTCTTTGTCTACATTTGTGCAAAAACTTAATGCAAAAATTCTACCCTAAATCTCTGCACAAAATTAATATTCAGTATTACATCTGTCCTGTAGATTCCCTTATGCATGGTGTAATGATGGCATTTCCAGTTTAGGAAATTCTTAAAACATTTTGTGTTCTTAACTGTGGTTGAGGCTTTGGGAAGGCCAGAGCCCCCTTCTCTACCACCCCTGGGGTATCAGCTCCAAGCCTGGGGCTGAGGGTTTGGTGGAGAGCGGGTGAGCTGGATCCTGGTCCCAGTGGTCAGTGGCCAGACCATGGGCTTCTGGCCAGAACCCTGGCTTTGTGAGTGGCTGCAACTTGGCTCTGCTCCAGCCCACAGGGGCTGAAGAAGTGGGCAGGGAGCATGTACATGGCTTTGTGTCCTTGGCTTCTCCAGACTTTCAGGTGCAGCATGTGCAAGCTTTGTACATTTCTGTTGCCCTTGTGCTCCAATCATTGCATAGGGCAGAAAACAGCTCTAGCAGGGAAGGGGCTGCCAGAGTTAGAATCTCCAGGGCCTGCAAGGAGGGCACTATTGTCAGAATCATCCTGGACCTTGGGAACAACAGCCCATACAACCTAGAAGACCTGATATCACCTGATAACATCCAAATTTTAAGGTGAAGGCAGGTCTTGAGAGTGATACAGGGCTAGCAAGGATGATTTCTGCCTTCATTCTTTTCCCAAGAGAACAAAGTCTCTCTGGGTGGGGAAATCACATTGAGGCTGGACAGTGACTGGATCTGGCCCAGGAGAATCTTGGCTGCCTGCCTTCCAGGCCAGGGTTTTTCTTTCCTGAGACCCTGGAGGGGAAGTGCCTAGAACTTGGGAGTGTTGCCCTGGTCTGGAAGATCAGACAGACATAGTATGTACACATTTCCCTTGGGCCTCCAGTGACTGCAGAGAGAAGGAGAGCTCTGGGTGATGGCTGGTTTTTTAAGGCATGCATTAAAAAGACCCCTCACAGACAACCACACTTCTGATTTGGCTGCATTTTGGAATCATCTGGAAAGTTTTAAACAATATTCTAACCTCCAGAAATTATGATTTAATTGGTATGGGGTGGGGTGTTACAGTTTTAAAGCCACAATACCCAGCAAAGTTTGAGAACTACTGCCCTGAGCAGCCCTACCTCCTTCCTTATCTTATCTGGAGTCAGGGGCACCTTCAGTTTCTCCAATCACCTGCCCAATGGTTCCTCAGCCCTGAACCTGAGGCTTCGTTTGTGGACGGGCTCGGAGGGAGAGGGGCCTTAACGCTTCCAGGCCTGCTCTTCCAAGGTGGACAGGTCTTCAGGCGGGCACCAGGGAATCCTACTCCAGACTCCGTCCCCGGCAGCCTCTTCAGTCTGGGACGGGACAGGAAGTGTCCGGCGGAGGTGGGGGTGGAGGTGATTGGCAGTTGGAGTCTCCAATGGGCCGGGAGCCCCCCTATTTCACCCCTCTCCTTCCATTGGCGCCTGGGCGGAGCCGCCCCCACGGCGGGGGCCCAGGGCGGGAGGGAGTAGAGGCCAGGGCAGAGGGCGAGGGCAGAGGGCGCTGGCGGCAGCGGCCGCGGAAGGTGAGGCCTGCTGGGGCGGCGGGTGTAGACGACCAAGTCTTGCCAGGAGTGGGCGGGGCAGGGTGGTGTATGATCTGAAGGGCCCGGAGTGACTGTCAGTGTGTGTGTGTGGCTGGGAGGCTGTGTCCGTGTGTGACGATGTCACTGTGTGAGAGTCTGTGTCACTTGGTGCAACTGTCAGCTAAAGTAACTGCGTGCGTCAGCGTGCAGGTAGCGGAGTTTGCATGTGGCGGTGCAAATACGGGATTATGTGTATCTCTGTCAGTGCAGTTTTTGGTGAGATTGGGTTGTGTGTTTGTGTGTGGGGGGGGACTGTGACCACATCGGGGAATGTGTTGGGAAGTTCTCTGTGGGGTTTAAGACTGTCTGCCAGTGTGAGCGTGGTTGGCTGGGTTTGTGTGTGTCAATGTGTGACTTCAGCGGCGGCAGAGCAAAAGTGAGACTTGTGACTATGTGTGTCCTGTGTCCTAACATAGACTTATGTGGGAGTACAGCTGTATTTACATACTGGGGGACCCACTTCAATAGCCGATGGTACTGACCTTTCTACTTAATGTCCAGCACAGACAGACCCATCCCCAACACACGTATGTGGTCTCCCCTCCTTCTTCCTCTGCTCTACGGTCCCCACCATGGGTCCACGGCTCCTTATCTTCTGTCCCCCTGTCTGGCTCAGTTTCCCGGTATTCCTTTTTCTCTACCTCTTACTGTCTTTAGAGACATCTCTCTCTGAGTCTCTTTAGGTATCTCTTCCATTTTGTCTCCCCAGGTATCTCTGTGTACGTGCTTTTCTAGTTCTACCTCTATGCTTTCTGTCTCTCTGTGCCCCTATGACTGACTCCCTTTTTACCTTTATCTCTTTGGCTACCTGGGGGCCTTGGCGCAGTGATAAGGTCTCTTGTTGCAGAGCTCCTTGGGAGAGGAGGCTTACATCATGATGAGGAGTTGCTTAGAGGCTTTGAGGGAGTGCTGTGACCCCATCCAGGGGCTGTGTGTGTGTGTGTGTGTGTGTGTGTGTGTGTGTATCTGTGTGGCTGCATGAGTGTATGAATATGTGTCAGTGTGTCTGATTCTGAGTGAGAATGTCTGACTGTATCGGTGTGACTGAGTGACTGTATCTGAGAGTGTGAGTCTGAGGGTAAATGTGGGTCTTGTGTATCTGGCACCAGGGGACCAAAGGCATTTCCTGGTGCTGGGGCCCAAAGAGTAAAGGGGGAGGTGAGAAATGGCTGGAACTTTCAGAGGAGGAGAACTGGACTCCTTACATCCCCCAGCCTGGGGCCTCCCTTCCCCTCAAGCACAGCCAGCTGTGCCCTAAGGAAACATTTGCTGAGAAGTGAAAAAAGCGGGGAGTGAGATTTTTCATTTGATTTTGTCCACGTGTGTTCAAGGGGGTGTCCTTTTGTTAACTGTGCCTAGTGAGTCCACGTGTGTATGAGGCTGTATTTGGCTGTGTGAGAACATAGGCAATCTCTCACTGACAGGGACATAAGCATTAGCAACCCTCCTCTCCCTCTTGCTGGCCCCGGCTGCGTCTGTGGCTTCCCTTCCAGACTTGGGGGAGGCCTCTTCCCTTCCCAGAGCCTTGGGTGGGAGGACAGGAGGGAGGAGGGAGAAGGGGGGAGGGGGCCTGACTAGGGGCGGCTGAGCTCTGGGGCTCAGAGGGGGCGGGGCAGGAAAGGGGAAGGAGGGGATGGCTCTGGGGTCCCAGAACTGAGTGGAGCAGTAGCCGAGTGCTGTAGCTGGTGGGAGGAAGTCCTGGAGGCCATGGACACTCAGCCACTGGGATCAACGAGGTAGGGTGGGGCTAAGCAGGGTAAATATGGCTGGGGGGCCAAGGGTGAGCCAACTAGACACAGGCAGACACACAGACATGTGGAGGCCCGTGCTCTGTTCTATTTCTTCTACCTTGGAGGGGTCCGTGCCCTTCCTCTACAGGCCCTGTCTCTCCTCACTTGCCCTTCATTCCGCATCCATGTCCCCACTCCCTTCCTCCTCCTGCTCCCCCTCAATCCAGAATCCCTCTCTCCTATCATCTCCCACCAGCCTGTAGAGATGCACTGTTAGGTCCTTCTTGGACTTTTTGAGTTCTTGCTGCCTCCAACCCAGCCTTCCCCTCATTGAGTCTCCATTGCCTCCCAATCCTGATCTCTGAGAATCTCTCTGTGCTGTGGCCCCCATGTCAGGCCCCTGCTCCTCTCAGACTCCCCTCCCCCCCCGCCACCCTGTCTCCATCTCCATCTGCTGGCTGCTCGCCCGCCCCCAGCCTCTGGCAGCAGCCAGGGCATCTGGATCCGCTTAACTCCGCAGCCCCAGCCCGCACCCTAGCCCCATCCAGCCTCACAGACTCGAGACCAACAAGATTTCAGAGCCAGGCCAGGCTGAGTGGCCCAAGGAGCCAGAGCAAGGAGCCAGAGCCAGGCGAGAGGCAGGGCAGGGCTAGGGCTCGCGGTGGGAGTACAGCGTGGGTTCAGACCCATGATGACAGCCTTCTTCCAGGAGGATAAGGTCTGACCCAGGTTAAGCAGAGGTGATGATTAGTCCTGGACCCGGTGGAGATGGACACCAGAATTCCCAACAGCTGGCCTGGAGGGGTTAATGGGAGTGCTAAGCCGGTGCTGGTACTTGGTGCCAGGGGGGGCGCCAAGGGCGGTGGGGGTGGGGGAGTTGCTGGCACAGTCTGTTGCCTCCGGCTTTTGTTCTGGGCCCTAAGCCCATGACTGAGATGGAGCATGTGAGTGTGAGGGTGTGAGTGTGTGTGTCTGCACACATGCATGTGAAGCCCTGGGTGTATGGTGGAAGAGGGAACCTCAGGTCAGTTCCCCCAGTTATTTCTGATCGCCTTACCCTACTTGATGCATCACTTTTTCTCCTAGGAAGCCTCCGTTTTGGAGAGGAGAAGCCAGGCTTTAGCCTCCCATCTCAGCGATGGGGGATCCCTGACTCTGCCTCTCTCCCCACAGATGAGCAGCAGCTGCTCAGGGCTGAGCAGGGTCCTGGTGACCGTAGCTACAGCCCTGGTGTCTGCCTCCTCCCCCTGCCCCCAGGCCTGGGGGCCCCCAGGTGAGAGGAACCTTGTTCTATGACTCCCAACTCTGACTTGTCGCCCTCATGGTGGCCCTTTCCCATGCTTAACTTGCGACTCCCCTGGCCCCTGTCATTCAACCTGGGCCCTCTCTCTGCCATGTCCTTTGAGTTCTGTCTCTGGATTATAACATGATGCTCTGATCCATCGGCTCTCCTGGAGGGGTCCGTGCTTGAAAACTGCCTCGGTCTCCCAAAGTTAAGGGATTATAGGCATGAGCCATCACGCCTAGCTGAATAATTTCCTTTATGGCCCTGTCTCTCCTCACTTGCCCTGCATTCCTCATCCACTTCCCCACTCCCTTCCTCCTCCTGCTCCCACCCACTTAGGGCTTATCGGTCTGCTCCTTACCCTGTCACTCTCACAAAGTGGGGAGGGGGGTTAGAGGAAGAGCCTCACCTCAGCAGTGCCCTCCACAGGGATCCAGTATGGGCAGCCTGGCAGGTCCGTGATCCTGTGTTGTCCTGGAGTAACTGCTGGGTAAGTGTCCCACCTACCTGTTGGTCTGATACTCATGACCCTTTCTTGACCCTGCCCAGTCCTCTTGTCCCTTCCCATCCTGTCCCCTCTGTCGGTAATTCTATCTGTTCCAACCCTCTAACCATCCTTATTCAACAGAAAAGTCAGCCCAGATGTATTGAGCACCTGCTAAGTGCCTGGTCTAGTCTAGGCTCTGGGATGCAGCAGTGTTCAAGCCAGGCAAAGTGCTGCCCTCACAGAGCATATATCCTAATGGGAAGACAGACATAAGCAAACAGCAATCTTGCCAGGTTATAATATCTGCAGGACAGAATAAGCCAAAGAAAGTGATGTGGAAGAAGATAATTTTTTTTCTTTTCTTTTTGAGTTGGAGTCTTTGTTGCCCAGGGTGAGGTACAGTGACTTGATTGTGGTTCACTGCAGCCTTGAATTCCTGGGCTTAAGCGATCCTCCTGCTTCAGCCTCCCACGTAGCTGGGACTACAGGCACATACCACCGTGGCCTGCTAACTTACTTGTTTTTTGTAGAGATGAGGTCTCACTATGTTGCCCAGGCTGGTCTTAAACTCCTGGATTCAAGCAATCTTCCCGCCTCGGTCTCCCAAAGTTAAGGGATTATAGGCATGAGCCATCACACCTGGCTGAATAATTTGTATTGATAATCAGGGAAGGTCCTTCTGAGAAGGTACAGTGAAGCTGATTTCTGAAGGTCAGGAAGGAGCCATGTACAGATTAGGGTGTAGACATTCCTCAGAGGGAACAGCTAGTACAGATGCTCTGAGGTAGAAATGAGCTCAATATTCCCGAGGAACAGAAACAAAACAGTGTGACTGGAGTACAAACAAATGTAGTGAATGGGAGAGAGGTAGGTGTTGAAAGAATGAAAGGAAGGCAGAGGCTAACTCACAAGGTGCTTTGTAAGCCAGTGAAAAGATTTGGTTTTTTTGGTTTTGTTTTTGAGGTGGGTTTTCGCTCTGCCCAGGCTGGAGTGCAGTGGCACAATCATGGCTTGCCCCAACCTCAACTTCCTGGGCTCACATGACTCTTCTACCTCAGCTTCCTGAGTAGTTGGGACTACCACCACACCTGGTTATTTAAAAAAATTTTTTGTAGAGATGAGGTCTTGTTGTGTTTCCTTGGCTGCAAATTTGGGTTTTTCTGCAAGTGTAGTTAGAAGCCAATGGAGAGCTGTGGCGTGATCTGACATAAACACATTAAATCTTCTCTCTGTTCATCATCACCTCATTTTACCTCCAGGGCCCCGGTGTCCTGGTTTCGAGACGGGGAGCCACGGCTGGTACAGAGACCCAACTCTGGTTTAGGGCATGAACTGGTCTTGGCCCAGGCAGACAGAACTGATGAGGGCACCTACATCTGCCAGACCCTGGATGGTGCACTTGGGGGCACAGTGACCCTGCAGCTGGGCTGTGAGTTGGGAAGGGTGGCAGTGGTGAGATTTGGGGCTCCTGAGGAATATGGAACCTGAGTAAGCCCTCTGGGATAGGGAGGACCTGGGGACTACTCAGGCTCCATCCGTACCCTCTGCCTCTAGACCCCCCTGCCCGCCCTGTTGTCTCCTGCCAAGCAGCTGACTATGAGAACTTCTCCTGCACCTGGAGTCCCAGTCAGGTCAGCGGTTTACCCACCCGCTACCTCACCTCCTACAGGTGTGTGCATCATCGGGTGTGTATGCCTACACATCTGGGTGTGCTGGCACAATGTGGGTATGGGAGGCAGGGAGGAAGTTTCTGAGGAAAGCCTCAGAGAGGGCAGAGGCCCCTCTTTTCTTTCCTGACTTCAGATGGCCCTCTCTCCACCAGAAAGAAGACGGTACCAGGAGCTGATGGCCAGAGGTAGGACGTGAAGGAAAGTCTGGAGTGGGGGGGGGGCTCCAGCTGGTTCCCAGAATCGGCATTTCCAAAGCCCAAGACCACATCCAACCTTCTAGGAGAAGTCCGTCTACAGGGCCCTGGCCATGCCCACAGGACCCCCTAGGGGCTGCCCGCTGTGTGGTCCATGGGGCAGAGTTCTGGAGTCAGTACCGGATTAATGTGACTGAGGTGAACCCACTGGGTGCCAGCACACGCCTGCTGGATGTGAGCTTGCAGAACATCTGTGAGTATCCTCCCCTAGACCTCCTTGAGATCTCCACCACAGAGACCCCAAAGGGACTCAGACCCCTCCAGCCCCAGAACTCCCAAATAGCTCCCTCTCAACACAGACTCCATTTCATACACAGATAGCCCTGTGGAGACTAAGGCAAAGGGATCAGAGCCCAGGAGGCATAGTTACCTAGCACACACTTTAGGAGTCGCTGCCACTACCCACAAGTCCTTCCTGGCTGTCCAGCTTCAGAGCTGACTCCCAGCTTCTAGACGCTGTACTAAAGGCAGCCATATCTCATGTCCTCTCTGCCTAAGGGAAGCCCTTACTGTCCCCTCCTTCCTCTTGATCTATGTGTGGGATCAGTGTACTAGAAAACTCTAGCTGGAATTTGGGCTGATTCATCTTCTTTGGATGAAAACAATAATCATTCTTTTTTTTTTTCACTCAAACATTTCAAAAGCCCACTCCCAGATTTCAGCTCATTTTATAATAAAGATGACAGACAGGTTCTGAGCCTAATGGATGATCAAACTTAAGATTTCCCTGCCCTTCTTAGGAGCACCTGGCTAAGGCACTTTTTTTTTTGCGTCGGAGTCTCACTCTGTCGCCCAGACTGGAGTGCAGTGGCCGCTCCCGGCCACTGCAACCTCCACCTGCTGGACTCCGGCGATCCTTCTGCCTCAACCTTCCAAGTAGCTGGAACTACAGGCACACGCTACCATGCCCGGCTAGTTTTTTGATTTCTTGTAGAGATGCGGTCTCACCAAGTTGCCCAGGCGGGTCTCGAACCCATGGGCTCAGGCAATCCACTCACCTCAGCCTCCCAAGGCGCAGGATTACAGGCTGAGCCACCGAGCCTGGCTTAAGGCACCTTTAAACACATACCTTGGGGAATGATGGAAAAGGGATGGGTACCTGTTGCCTACCCTGACTTTGTGCTCACTGCCCTCAGTGCGCCCTGATCCACCCCAGGGGCTGCGGGTGGAGTCGGTACCAGGTTACCCACGACGCCTGCGTGCCAGCTGGACATACCCTGCCTCCTGGCCCCAGCAGCCCCATTTCCTGCTCAAGTTCCGGTTGCAGTATCGTCCATCACAGCATCCAGCCTGGTCCATGGTGAGGCCTGAAGTGTGTCCAGACCTGGGGCTATGGGTCCTGTCTCTGGTTTCATGATCGTGGGTGTTCTGCATAGTTTCCTGACACTGGCAGGTCACCAAAGACCCAACACCTCTCCCTACAGAGTGTTCCCCTTGGGTCAGGCTTTGTGCTGGGTGCTGGAGTTGCAGTGGTGACTGATAGAGCCTCTGCCCTGTGTGACTGTGACCATGATGTAAGCCCATCTGTGGAATGACAGCAGTGGCTTTTCAAAAATAACTTTTCTAGGAAAAGGTGGGCCTTTCACCCAGAGGCACATCCTCATATAAACACTCATACCTCCCTGAGGATAGTAGGGAATTCCCACCTCTGGAGATGTTGAAGATTGGTTGGCATCAGGTCTGGGGAGTGGCAGCATCAGATAATAATCAGTATTTATTTAGTCCTATCTGCCTGCTGGCAATTGTGCTACATCATTTACATACATTATCTCATTTAGGTATATTCAACCTCATTTTACAAATGAAGAAACTGAGGCATAGAGAGGCCTGAAGGTTACTCAGTATATGGTTTAGCAAAAATGTGAACTCAAGCAGCCTGATACCACAGCTACTCCAAGTAATCACACACTACTGTCTTCCGAACACTAGGTGTAGACCCAACCCAGACACCCAATGTGAGACCTAGACGGCTCCACTAGGCTGACAGAGATGGGACTGGGAGGAAGGGGTCCTTTGTAGACTGAGGCTGGACAGGCTCTGTGAGTACAACCTGGATAATGTGTACCATCTTCACCTCCAGGTGGAGCCAGCTGGATTGGAGGAGGTGATCACAGACGCTGTGGCTGGGCTGCCCCACGCTGTCCGGGTCAGTGCTCGGGACTTTCTAGATGCTGGCACCTGGAGCGCCTGGAGCCCAGAGGCCTGGGGAACTCCAAGCACTGGTGAGAGACAAAGCCAGAGAAAAGAGCAGAGGCCCCACCTCAAAGCACCTATCAGCTGGACCAGTTTGTAAAAGGCAGCCTGTGGCATGTGCCCCACTCACACAGACACTGCAACTGCTGGCCCAGGCTTCAGCTTCGGTTGCCGACAGCCCTGCCCTAGCTAAAGTCATGCCCCTCAGCCTCTACCTCTGCAGTTATCAGTCTTCACTTCTATAAACTACATCCCCTGGAGCTGGCTATGTCCTTCTAGGCTTCTCCTAGGTATCTTTACTTCCTACCCAGGCCTTGGCTCTGCCCACAGGACCTGGCTCCCATCCCCACTGTGCATGGACACTTACCAGGTCTTACCTTCCTTTAGGGCCTCTACCAAAGGAGATACCAGCTGGGGGCCAGCTACACACGCAGCCAGGGGTGGACCCTCAGGTGGACAGTCCTGCTCCTCCAAAGCCCTCTCTCCAGCCAGACCCACGGCCACTTGGTGAGCTTGGGTGGATGGGCAACAGTTGTAGAGGACAGAAAGCCCCATAAAGAAGGGGGTACCGAGCTTGATCAGGTTTGCTTTCACAATGACATATGACCCCACCCCTGCCAGATCACAGGGACCCTCTGGAGCAGGTGGCCGTGCTGGCATCTTTGGGAATCCTTTCTTTCCTGGGACTGGCAGTGGGAGCCCTGGCACTGGGGCTCTGGTAAGTGACTGTCATTGGTCCCTCAGTCTCTAATCCCCACAGATGCTCTGATGCCCATAGACCACATTCATCCCCGCCTGTCATGACTTCCCACTGAATCTTTCTGATTCTGGAATCATACCTCCATCCCTCATACCTCACTTTGTGATTCTGATTCCTCCCCTAAACCTTTACTAATAAACCCTTTTGGAGGAGACCAAGATGCCCCACACTATCTGGGAGACAGCTGCCTTTTTATGCCCCAGGCTGAGGCTGAGACGGGGTGGGAAGGATGGATCCCAAAAGCCTGGGTTCTTGGCCCCAATGATTCCAGTGGACAAGCGCTCAGGTGAGTAGGACCTCCAGGAGGTTTGGACTCAGAGAGATGTGTCCCCATTTTGAGAGTATCTGATTAGGAAGCAATTGCCCTAGTCTTGTAAGGGTGTTGGGAATGAGTTGGGTTTCCTTATTCTTATGATGTTTAGGCTGAGGCTGGGCCTTTCATTCTTGAATCCCTGGGCTCAGAAATGGGTCTCTCCCCTCTCAGGATACTGAGGGTCCTAGATGGACTACCCTCCTCATTTTCAGGGTGATAGAGCTGGGATATCCTTTTTCCCGGGTGTCTTGGATCAGTGCTGCCCGCCCCCCATCTTGATGTGCCTGGGCTGAGTTAGGTCTGCTCCCTCATCTTCAGGGTGTTGAAGGGACTCCCTCAGAGTTGGGCTCATCTATTCATCCTCAGAGTAGTGGGCTCAGAACTGGGTCACCTCCCTCATTCTCAGGGTGTCTGGGCCAAGATCCAGTCCTATTGTCTTTTCTGCTGCTTCTAGGAGCTTCAAACCTGCAGAGGACCCAGGAGGGCTTCAGCTGATTCCACCTCTAACTCTGTCTCGATTGTATGGATGGATGGACAGATAGAACCCAGACAGGACAGTAGATCCCAATGGATGGGGTCTCAGTTGGAGGTTCTGTTTGAAGTCAGAGGCAGGTGGAGGTGTATTGCTTATCCTGTGACACTCCTGGGGCCTGGTTCTTGGCCTGTTGCTGCAGAACCCAAGAGGCACATCCTGTTTTGTAAGACCCTGCATTCCAAACTTGCTAGCCTGAAAGGAGACTGGACCTCTGATTTCATCCCAGAGCTGGAGTTCCGCCTGGGGAATGTGTGTAGGTGTGTATGTCTGTGTCTATGTGTGACCATGTGTATGTGAGACAGGGAACGTGTGTTCTCTGCATACGAGTATGTACGTAGGTGCCTGGGGAGAGTGTGTGGGTCCTTGGCTCTTGGCTTTGCCCCTCACAGGGGTCGTGAAGGTGTGAATAAAGAGAATGAGGAAGTTCTTGGTGGCCACACTCAGAGACTATTATCCATGCTGCTTTATTATTTTGGCTGTTGGGGGCTCCAGTCCATTTTCCCTAGCAGCCCCAAATTCAGGTTGGGCAGAGTCCCCTGGAGCCTTCTCCCTTGGTGCTCAAACCACCGAGCCAGGCTGCGGTTCTGGGGGTGAATGCAGACACTGCGTTTGGCCAGGTGAAGCCTGGGAAGGGAAAGGTCCAAAGCTATGACCATAGCTTGGGCAAGAGGTTAGGGTCCAGGGGTTAGGGGCAGGGACAAGATGAAAATTTGAGTCAGTATCAGAATTAGCAGTTGGGGCTAAGGTTGGGATCAGCATCAGAGGTTGGGACTGAGGTCAGAGTCAGGAGTCAGGGATGGGATCAGAGCTCACACGAAAGCCTGGAGGTAACAGTCCCCATTGGCCTCCTGCAGTTCCACCCGGATGACCTTCCTCAGCAGCTTGTTGGTGAGTGGCTTTTGGTAGAGCTGAGTACAGCAGGTAGTGCTGGGTGGTAATAGCAGTGCTAGGGGACAGTGAAGCCATATGTTTAGGGGGATCCTGACCAAGAACCCCTCTATCAGACAGCTGCAGTTTAGTTGAACTTCCTGCTCTCTTCCCCTTTATCCCACTCACCCCGACCCCCAGTGTTCTATGCCCACAATTACTCACCTGCTCCAGGGTCTGGGCTCAGGAGCAACACTAGCACCAGGAGGCTGCAGGTGGTTGACGGCCCCTTCATGCTGCTCAGCCTGGGCATTTCCTTCTCTCTCCTCCTCCCTACCTTTTATCTGGGTGACTTTTACCTGGGGCACCAGGTGAGTCAGAGGCAGGTGGAGATGTGTTGCTTATCTTGTTACACTCCTGGGCTCTAATTCTTGGTCTGTTTCCACAGACCCCTTTCTCTTCCAGGACTGTTATTTCCCTGGGTTTCTAAGGTCTGGGCAGAGAAACTAGGGAAAGAGTTAGTGCATGATGCAGGGACCAATGGAACACTGACTAACAGCAGTCGAGGATCCATGGTGGCATCCAATGATAGACATACACACTCACACCTTGATCACTCCATCAACCTCAACAAGTCGTATCCATGCTCAGACAACTACAGACAAAATCATACATCCTTGGTTATATTTGAAGTCCCACTCCTACCCAGTTGTGTTTTCACAGTCATCCAGTCACACTCCAAGTCATGCTAGCACATACGGATTCTGATGGGGGAGTTGTGGGTGGGGATGGAGCAGAGGCCAGGCCAGCATCGACTTGCCTTCATCTTCCCCTTCCCACTTCCTGCCCTGGCCTGCCTGTCTTATCAGAAGAAACTGATAGGAATCGTCCATAAAGCAGGCTGCTCTGGGGGTGGTGGGGTCTTGGCAAAGGCCAGTCACATTCAGAAAAGCTGGGAGACCTTTTTTGATAGAATTGAGGTTGCCTTGGAGCTGCTGAGGTGGGGCAGCTTTCCCCAGGAAGGTGAGATAGGGAGGGAAGATGAAGGGGGAAGATAAAAGCTCTTTGGTGCTCTGGGTTGCTATTGTCAACATGTGAAAGGCTCAAGAAACCTTCTCTGTTTTTTTGCCAAGTCCTTTTCCAACAATGCAAACCTCTTGCCAGCAGGGACCTAGGATCTCCAGATTCAGTCCCTGACTCATTGGAGACATCAAACTCAGGAGCTCAATTACTTCTCGTTCTACTCAGACTCCATCATTCTACTCAGATTCTAGCCTCTTACCACTGTGGGCCTGGAGGAACATTCCCCCTCCCCACCTAGGTTTTCAGTAATATCCCTGTATCCGCTGTATCCTATCCTCCAGCTACAGCCCCAGCCTTCCATCTCTGTCCTATCCTTCTTTCCTAACCGCATACCCAGACCTCACTCCCTTTTGCCCCACCTGCCACCAACACAAAACTCCTACCCTTCTTCATCCAGTCCTTTCTAGGAAGCTGGAAACTGCCTAGGGTAGGGGAGGGCTGGGGGCATGCTGCTGGGTTTAGTGCCTCTGGCTCCTTGAAGAATTTCCCACTCCTAGTCTAGGAATTTCAATCTTCATGTCCTGCTCTGTATTTGAAACATAAACCGAGTCATAACTCAATAAATCAGCCCCTATCTGGTTGTTTCAGGGGCACCCTCTAGTCTTCTGCTCTGGGGTCAGTCAGCCTTCCTGTGGCAGGCTTTCTCTTGGGATAGGACTCACACCTTCTCTAGGCAGTCCCTTCTGTTGCAGGCTGCTACAACAATCAGGAGGGACTTCAACTTCCAGAGTAGGGACTAGTCTCCTTTCAGGCTGAAAATTTGGGCCTCTCCTCCCTTCTGTCCTGTCTAAGGCTTGGCCACCCCTCCCTGGAGTTTGTCTCCAAGATCTTCAGGTCTTCTGACAGCATCTTGGTAAAGTGAAGCCTCGAGGCTGGACAGGACACTCCACAACTGAAGGACACTTTTTTTTTTAACCCCAGAAATCCTAGAGAGAGATGAAGGGGTCTTTGATGTAGATATTGTGAGTAAATGGCTCAAGAGCTTGAGTGCTTTCATGAAGATAACCATAGCCCAGAAGACACTCAATCTTGAATGTTTGGTGCCAGAGGTCTTAGGTTTCCTCTCCCACTCCCCAGTCTGGACCTGTGCCCCAGAACTTGGGTGTAGCCACTGAGAAGTTCCAAGGAAATCCCCCAGGTTCCATGGTCTTGTCACAGACCTTCTCTATCTGCTGGCTGCCTGCCACACATTTTGTGGTATTTCCTGGACTTGTCAGTCCAGATGCCTTTGGAAACTAAGAAATGAATCCTTCCAGGTGTGCACTCACCTCTTCCCTTTGGCTTCTCCAAAGATACAGCCAAGTTTTATTCCCAGCCACAATCTGCTGTGGCAGGAGCAACTGTAAGCCGAAAGCCTGCTTTGGTCCCAGCCAGAACTGAGGCCAATCCCTAACGGAGTCAGTCACTGACAGTAATGAGGCCCACTTGGTAGTCCCTGACTCTCACCACTTCAGGAGTTAGTGGGTCCCAGGCTGATTGGGTGACAAGACAGAAGTGGGCGGCAGGAAGCAGTGGCCCTCGGACTCTCCAAAGGAGGTAGCAAGAACTGCTATGTAGACTGATTGAGGATCTCTAAGCTTGGGATCAGACTGGAGGAGCCAGAAGTTAACCGTAGGAAAGGTCCCTAACCTGAGTCACTCCCCTGTGGCAGGCAGCTTCTAGGAATCTTCCTCCCCTCTCACAGCCTACATCCTACACCTCCTACTTAAATGTTTTAGATACATTCCCAGAGAAGATTCTTCAGACGCATGGCAAAGTCCTGGCTGGAGGAAGGTAGTAACCGAGCTGGAACTGTGGGAACACCATCAATATGGGGATAAGGCTGAGAGGAAGACCAGGCCAAAATTATTTAGCTCTCTCAATATATGGGTGTTTTGGGGGGGAGGGGGAGGAGCAGGGCAGCGGAGAGTCAGTCACTGATAGTAACAGGAGGGCTGACACTGCTGAGGAACTCTTAGGAATAAAAACAACGAGGGAGGGAGGCCCTATCAGTAAGGAAACAGCTGGTTTGGAGAGGGACTCTCAGCCCGGAAGGCGGCAGCGGCGTCAGAGTCAGGAGGTCACTTCGGTGAGCTTCGATTTAAATCTTTAATGCACCGGCTGGATGGGCAGCGGCGGAGGGAGTGCGGCGGGGGAGGCTCGCACGACCGGAGCGCTGGGGAGCAGGGCCCAGGCCGCTCGACAGACAGCTCATCAGGCCCCGCAGAGGCTCCAGCTTCTGCTCCCCCGGGTGCGCTGAGCTGTGGGGCGACCCGACACTGGCATGAGGTGGGGCGGGAGCTACCGAATTCCCCCCGATCGGTCCTCAGAGACTGAGCCTCGTCCATGCCCGGGGCCGGTCCGCGGTATCGCAGCCCCCTCACCTCCGCTCCCTCCGCCACATTCGCAGCCAGGGGAAAAAGTAGAAACAGCCCCAGTAGATCCTGCAGAGAGAAGGCCAAGCCGGGCCGGGC